AGGTTGTGACTATGTGAAGGTATTTGTGTTTGGGGTGGAGGAGATGGCACTGGGTAGGGAGAGAGGCCTGAATGCTAGGCTAAGGAATTTAGACCTTGGTAATAGACCACGTACAGGAAAAGCAAAAGGTTTTTTAGCAAGGTTAAGAGGTGAGTTTACATTGTCCAAAAGCGTAATCTGGGGTAGGGGAAGGAAGAGACGGGAGATGGAGACATTAGCACAGGAGAGAAAAATTGTAGCTAAAGGGAACACATGAGGGAGCAGAGTTCCAAAAGTCATAAAATGAAATAATAACAAAAGCCTGAGATGAATGGATTGAAGTAGTGAGAGAATAATCAAATGGGCCAACGAATAAATGTGAAAATAAAGATGGGGAGACTCTAGAAGGGCAGCAGTATAACTGTACTCATTATGGTTAGTTCTTTCCTGAAAAAATAAGAGTTGAGATTGGGTCATGGAGAGTGAGGAAGAGTGGAAGAGAATGAAATGGCCCACCATGGCATTTAGACTGGGTAAGGAGTAAAAGAAAGGCTAAAAGGTGTTTTGGGCTGTGAGACTGGGTGTTCCAAGCTAGAGATTACAGACACAGGCTGGAGATGACTAAACATGAAAGGCAGGCCTGGTAAGAATTAAGGACATGAGAATTTAAAAGGAAGGAGTGTAGGAGCAGAGAAAAATTACTGTGTGTCCTGGATGAGACACCAACTCTTGAGTCTTCACCTATCAGCTCTGTGACCTTGGCAAGTCACTAACTCAGTCTCGGTTCCCTCATCTATAAAATGATGACATTCTCCACTGGATAGCACTGTTGAAAAAAATTACCTTTTATACACTCTCACCCCCATTTACTCTGACATATATATCAAGTGTCCAACAGAGCTTTTGCTTTTTATTTTCAGAGTAGTTTTTCAGAGTTTGAGAAGCTGGCAGGCATCCAGACTGAGAGATGATGAGATTCTAATCTTCAGCAGCTCAGAAGCTAGCCTTGCAGCTATGATGCTAAGACGGTGTAGTTTCCTGGGTTTTATTTAACAACAATAGGTGGGTGACACATCCCTTGCACTATTGAATAGGACTAAATTTTTAACAAGTTCAGCTATTTTTTTTATTAACATATTTGATACAATAATCAAATAAAACCACTTGTGAAATTAAGGAAGTTCTTTGCAAAGTTGTATTGAAAAACAATCATTCATTCCAGATTTAGTTAGGTTAAACCCCCTACTAAAAATAAGTTAAATCTAGTTACAACAACAGCAGTAATTTTTTTTTTTAAAAAAAAAAACAAACTTGCTATTAAAGATTCCAGAGCACTCATCCTTATATAACACAATTTCCTTGTAGTCAAATAAAATCAAAATGCCTTAGGAATTACAATGGAATTTTAAAAAATGTTAGTGTTGAAGTCCCTCAAATAGAAGCAAATGGAAAGACAAGTCTAGACACTGGTGACCCACAGCTGGATATATTTTTATTAGAAAATCAGTGCTTAATACTATACCTACCCTGTGTGGGAGAAAGTGGTTTTTATACAGTGATTTTCACTTAGCTGTATACAATATTTTAACATAATACATAGTATGTATTTGACCAATATTGTATAAATTGGAATCCTCTGGCCTATAATGTCCTAAAAAGAAGTTTTTCATCTATTAGTAAAGCTGAGGCATTACATTTTATTCTCCCTAGAATATAGATTTGTATAATTTAGGTTGAAGAAGTTGATCTTGTGTGATGGTAGGGATGCCTGAAGGGGCATCTTTGAGATTCACATATTTCCTTAGCACTTGACAATGTAAGAAGAAAGCATTCCTCAAACCAAAGCAAATTCTTCAAGTAAAGCATGGACAACATTTTGCTGATTTCTTACTAAAACGTATAGTTAGGTATCTTTTTCATGGTTCACTGCCATGTGCTGGTGCAGTGTAGTAAATTACTTAGTATGGCTTTTCTACCCATAAGTCATTGTAAATTCAGTGGTGGAATGAGCAACTGAGGAGCTCCTGATTGTAAATGTTATCCACCTGGGTTATTTCTGTTGGGCGTGGCACAACGCAATGTTATGGGAGGTTCTCTCTCAGGTGCTTAGAGTTCTGATGCTATGATTGGCTAGTTTGGCCACTCTGCCAAGCTCAAAAGGAGGCCTCTTAGAGGCAAAATCTTTCTGACTGCTGGTTGAGGAAGACATGCTGCTGAAAGAGATATGTGCTCCGGAAAGAGACACGTGCTGCTGGGAAAGAGATGCAGGAGACACGCATTGCTGAGTAAGACACCGAGGGATGTGCACTGCTGGGGGAGAGACTGTGAGAGACTTGGCTGATAGACGGTGGGCTGGGAGAGAGACTGAGCGTTTTTCCTTAACTTGAATTGTAGCCTGGTGCTTCCCTAGTAAACTCCATAATCTGTGAGTTCTGTGCGGCCACTGCAGCAAATTATCGAACCCAGGAGAGAGGTGGTGGGTGCTTTGGGAGGAACAGTTGGAGAAAGGGCTGGAGGGGAGGCAGCATGTCTGGCCTTGTAGGAAGAGGCCCTGGGTTACTGCTGGTAATCCTGTCTTCCTCTTGTAGGGTTAGAGGAGGTCAGAACATGTGGCCTCTTTGCTCTTTTTGCAGCTGGGAAACTAGGCTTGCAGACCAAATCCTGTCAGCTGACTATTTTTGTCAATAAAGTTTATTGGAACACTACCACACTCATGTTTACTCATTATCTATGGCTGCTCCCGTGCTATAACGGCATTGTTGACTAGTTATATTTATGGACTGCAGAGCTTAAAATAATCACTCTCTAGCCCATTATAGAAATCATTTGCTGACCTCTGACTAATGTGAAAGTTGGTTCTTTGGAGCCAACCCACACCAAACTCACTGTCATTGAGTTGGTTCCAACTCATAGCAACCCTTCCTTCGGTTTCTGAGGCAGTATCTCTGCAGAAGTAGATCACTCAGTCTTCTGAGGAGTGGCCGGTGGGTTTGAACCACCAGCACCAGCCTTCTGGTTAGCAATCAAATGCTTTAGGTACTTTGCCACCAGAGCTCCCTCCTTTTGGGCAGCGCTGTGCTATAGGTGCCAGATCTTCAGGGAGAGGTCTAGTGAGAAGCACCATTTGCTAGTCTAGTCAACGAGAGCCTTCTGTACAGCAAGCATCTTGCTAGTGACCTGGTGTCCACACTTAATGCTGGGCACCCAGTCAGTATGATCTATTTATTCAGTGAATCCTGGGGGGATTTGCTTTGCCTATTGTGCCCCCAAATTCCATTATATGAATGACAAACTCTTAAAAACAGCCTGTGCTCAGTTTGTCAAAGGCAGTGAGTGACCTTTTAATGCATATTTGCCCGGAGAGCAAAAAATACCTTACCCATATTTTGTTTTTAATATGAACTGAATAATTAAAACAAGTTATGAATGATTATGCTTTTGTTGTCAGATTCTTATTCTTGGTGGCCCTATGTGTGCAGAGTAGAACTATGCACCATAGGGTTTTCAATGACTGTAATGTTTTGGAAACAGACCACCCACCCTGTCTCCTAAGGTACCTTCAGATGGGTTTGGACCACCAGCCTTTTGGCTAGTAGTTGAGCACTTAACCATTCATATCACCATTGTTGTTGTTGTTGTTGTTATGTGCTGTCGAGTTGGACCCAACTCATAGTGACCCCTCCTTGGGTTTCCGAGGCAGTATCATTACAGAAGTAGATTGTCTAACCTTCTTTCTGAGGAGTGGCTGGTGGGTTTGAACCACCAGCCTTCTGGTTAGCAGCTAAGTGCCTTAGGCAGTAGGCTACCAGGCTCCTCATATCACCAGTGACTGATTATTCTTTTTAACATGGCCTAATTGTTTTCATTATCAAAAGGATTAATGGAATTTTTACTTTTGAGTCAGAATTGGCAGTGGTTTTGTTACTTTGTTTTTTAGGGGGACTCTGATTATAGTGCCTGAGGCACTTGACTGCTAATCAGAAGGCTGGAGGTTCAAACCCCCTAGTCAATCCTCAGAAGGAAGGTTGGGCAATCTTACTTCTGTAGTGATACCGCCTCGGAAACCAAGGAGGGGTTGCTATGAGTCGAGTCTGACTCGATGGCACATAACGACAGCAACACTGTGATTAGACAGTTGAGAAACCTTATTATTACGTTCATTTTTTATTCAATTGAACCATTGTTACTTGTGTGCCCAGTTCACGTCAAGTGCAGTGTCAGGTGTAGGGAATCACAATGGGTTCTTCAATCTCATTTTTCTTTTCAGAAAACCATTTATCTCCTGTGGATCTTTGTTTTGCTATAAGCAGGATTGTCAAATCACTTGTCCTAACAGCAAGGGACTCAGCCTAGCCAAAATTTCACTGTATGATTTTTGGAAGGAGAGGGATGTGATGTCACTGCTTCTGCAGGGAAAGTTATCTTCAGCGTTATGTGTAGGTTCCAGTCATGTGAGTTCCAAAGCTGAGCTCCAGGACATGATGCATACCCCCAAAGATTACTGATCCTCTTCAGAGGGGCTTGAGGGGAAAGAAGACAGCAACAGGCAGTCCCAAGGCTCAAAGAAGCTACTTGGGTTTGTGTTTGACTCAAAATTATGTTTAATGAAGAAATAAATGACAAACACCAGATGAGTCCTACAGTGCATACCCTGTGAAGTGTGGCCAATAGGTGTTTTTCTTCATGTTCCATTTGGTTCTCAGAAATGAAAGTAAACAGAGCACAGATCCTTGGTAATAAGATGTGACCCCATTACCTCCTTTCTGTGGACATATTAGTGATAAATGAGCAACAGACAAGGATTATGTTAGGGGAGAAAAGAGGATTCTGATAGAATTTAGGCTAGAGACTCTTTGTGCATCTGTCAGTATTTTTTCAATCCCTTAAATCAGACCCCTGCACAAGGAGTATGTACAGTTAATATCTTCATATTCTGTTGATTAATTTCACAATCATTCTGAGATATTTTAGTAATTTTTCTAGAAGTTAGAACATTGTTAACATTTCACAAGCCCCCAAATATTACAAAGTATTTTGATTCTTTTAACACTGTCTAGACACAAGAAACTAGACTATATTTTAGGTGTTTATAGAACTATTTGTTTAAAATGACAACAGTTTCATGTGATTTAGATGTTATAACAATTATAATAGGATTCCAATTTCATTTCCTTGTGTATCTCTTTGCAAATTAAGACAAAGCAAAGTTTATAATCTTTTAATAACTCATTTATAGCAACTGTATTTTTGGTGTATCTCAAAGGTGCAATTCTTTTAAATAATAAATGACTTTGTGTGCTTGAAATCCTAGGACAAAAAAGAAAACAAAGTTTAAATATTATGTAGTATTTGATATTTACAGAAACAGATAAAAGTCTTATAGGCTTAAAGTTATATCTTATAGGTACAAGCCAGCATATATTTAATTAAATCTATTTTATTAGGAATTAATTAAATTCCTAATAACATATACACATACTTTTGAAACTTAGTTCAGAGAGTGAAAAAGTAAGACTGAAATTAGAGCAAGATAAATCTTGTTTGTATGAGGCTGATCTTCAGTTGTTTTCATTTGTAAATTTACTTGTATTGAACTTTAAAACTTTTCATCCAAGATGTACACAAAAAAGATAATATGCTACATCTGGAAGTTTTCTGTGATGGATATTGTAGGCTGGCTCATCAATACTCACTTCAACTGCCTTTTCTCTTGACTTTTTCTACTATAGGGATTATAAAAAGTAAAAAGATAGTATCCTAACATCTCGCTCAGCTAGGGATAGCCACATATCATGGTTCTCGCAAACAAAATGTAAATAGAAGTCTGTTGGTATTACCATTTCCCCTTCTCACTCCTTGGAATAGAGATACAGTTGTTGGAGGTACATCTGCCATCTTGTGGCCCATAAGAATAAAAGCCACAATCCAAGAAAGAGTGGGAAGATGGAAGGTGTTCAGGATACCATCATGGATCTGCTGCATCAAACTAGGACTGCCCACCTCAAACTTCATGCAATTAAAAAAAAAAAAATAGTTGTCTGTTTAAACCACCACTGTGGGGTTTCCAGTCCTGTGGCCAAATGCAACCCCGACTCATGTGGTACCATTGAGGACATCTACTTAGTTTTCTCCAAGTCTTTAGTAAAAATAAAGCTCACAACAAACACCTAGACATTTTCCTCTCTTTCACTTATATATACGAATATTGAGAACCAGAAAAACTAAATTATTGGCTGAGCTCAGACACAAATTAATAGCTAAATGGGACTAGCCCTCAGGTCACTTGCTTTTTAATGTAGTGTTCTTTTCATGTACACACTGCTTCGAACTCTGTTCAAGCATTTTTTTTCCCCCTTCTTCTTCCCATAGAATATTAGACAAAGACCAATTTTCTTATAATCTCTCTTTCTTACTTCCTTTTCTTTGCAAATGTAAGACAAAGCAAAGTTTATAATCTTTTAATAAGTCATGTTAACCATGCTACCCTTCCTCTTTTCAAGTTGCCAATACTGACATTTTGTTTTGGAAGACTCTTTCTTTCTTCGGTAATAGGTGTGTATCTCCCTACTTAAAGTATAAAATCCCTGGGGCAGGAACAAGAAATTACTGAACAATACAATATTCAAAATATTTGTAGAAAGGGAATGAGTAATTTCATTGTTTACTGACTTGGTGGTGTAAGCATACAGAGAGTGTATGGTGTGACTTTAAAACACTGTAATTTGACTTACCTCCCTAGTGTGTTATAACCAAAGAAAAAAAGGCACTACATAAAATTCTTAAATTGTTTTCAGTAATTATATTGCTGGTGGTAATGATGGTATTGTTATTCTGAGACTGTTATAGTGTATTGTGGATACAAGTAAATGATAATTATGTTTGTGTATAGCTGAGAACTGAAATTCTCACAAGGCACCTTTGAGAATAGCAGGGATTCAATTTCTTATTCTGAAAATAAAAATCAAATATTTAATGTTTCTTATAATAATTGTGTCTCAGGTTAACAAACATGGATGAAAAAATTTCTCTTTACACAAGTACTGGAACTGTTGAATAAAGAAGGACTGAAAAGAATTAGAGTATCACCATGTAGAGATGGTAGCAATGACCACTGGTAGCTGCTAGCATCACAAAACCAAACTAAATCCGTTTCTATGAGTTGATTCTAACTTGCTGCAACCCTATAGACAGGGTAGAACTCTCTCATAAAGTTTCCAAAGCTTTACAAAAGCAGATTGCTACATCTTTCTCCTGTGGAGTGGTTGGTAGGTTCTAACCACTGACCTTCTGGTTAGCAGCCCAGCACTTAACCACTATGCTACCAGGGCCCCAGCATCACAAAAGACACCCGAATTCCTATGGGAATACACAGCACCAACGCTGACATTTTCTTGATGGGGGGGAAAAAAGAATTCAAGCTTGAGTCTGATGGAGCCTCTAGATCTAACTATTCACAATTTACCGGTAGAAGAAACCATATTAAATGACATGAGGTGAAGGGTTGCAATTAGCAACATCCAGATTATGGGAAACTCTTTCAGAAAATAAACTAATTTTCTTTAAGAAATTACATTGTAAGATTAATGAGAGAAAGAAATGAATCTATAGATTAAAAGAGCTTTAGAAGACATATCAACAATTTGCAATGCATGGATAAGAGCTTTAGAAGACATATCAACAATTTGCAATGCATGGATTTTATTTGGATCCTTATGTGAACAAACAACTTTAACATCAAAAACAAAAAAGTTTCAATGAACTTGGAAATCAGAAGATTATTTGTTAATATTAAAGTATGAATTTTAAGTTTTAGGTATGACAATGGTGGTGGTGGTTGTTATTTGTCGTCAAGTCAGCCCTGACTCATAGAGACCCCTCCTTGGGTTTCCGAGGCAGTATTACTACGGAAGTAGGATTGCCCAACCTTCCTTCTGAGGAGTCGCTGGTGGGTTTGAACCACTAGCCTTCTGGTTAGCAGTCAGGTGCCTTAGGCACTATGCTACCAAAGTGGTTATTTATTTAAATAGCTTTTTTTCAATAGGAATACATAAAATATTTATGAATAAAATAATGTAATATCTGGGGTTTGCTTCTAAATATTCTTGGATCTAGGAGTGGAGAGAGTGAGTTGAGATACAGATGAAACAAGATTGGCCTTAAGCTCATCCTTGTGAAAGCTGGGAGATGGATAAATGGGGGCTTGTTATACTATGGGTGCTCTGGTGTCATAGTGCCTAAGGCATTTGACTGCTAACCAGAAGGCTGGCAGTTCAAAACCACCAACCACTCCTTGGAATGAAGGTTGGGTAATCTACTTCCATAGTGATACCGTCTTGGAAACCCAAGGAGGCATCGCTATGAGTGGGATCCAACTCAGTGGCAATGTATTTGGTTTGGTTTGTTATACTATGCTATCAATGTTTGTACCCACCAGCCACTCCTCAGAAGGAAGATGGGGCAATCTACTTCCGTAGTGATACTACCTTGGAAACCCAAAGAGGGGTTGCTATGAGGCGGGGTCCAACTCAATGGCACATAACAACAACAACAACAACAACATCAATGTTTGTACATGTTTGAGATTTTCTATAGCAAACAAAATTTAATTATGAGCCAGAGAGAATATTATCAAGTGAAAAAATATTCCTTAAGACTCACAAGTCACTGACAAAAACTCTATTTAAAGATAAATGGTCTATACACAAAAATAATTGAGTAACTAGGATCTTATTTATAAATCATGCTTTTAATTACTCTATATTTCACAGTGCCTGTTCCAAAGAAAGGTGATCCAACAGCATGTGGAAATTATCAAATAATATCAATTTCACATGCAAGTAAAATTTTCCAGAAAAGAATTAAAAAATGGTTGCAGCAGTTATTGACAGGAAACTGCTAGAAATTCAAGCTGGATTCAAAAGAGGGTATGGAAAAAAGGGATATCATTGCTGGTGTCAGATGGATCTTGGCTCAAAGCAAAGAATACCAGAAAGATGTTTACCTGTGTTTTATTTACTATGTAAAGTCATTAGGATCATAACAAATTATAGATAATATTGCAAAGACTGGGAATTCCAGCACATTTAATTGTGCTCATGAGGAACCTGAACATAGACCAAAAGGCTGTTGTTCAAACAGAACAAGGGGCTACTGCATGGTTTAAAATCAGGAAGGGTGTATGTCAGGGTTATATCCTTTCACCATACTTATTTAATCAGTAAATTGAGCAAATAATCTGAAAAGCTGGACTATATGAAGAAGAACATGGTATCAAGATTGCAGAATTGCTCATTAACTACCTGTGATATGCAAATGACACAACTTTGCTGGAAATAAAGATGACTTGAAGCACTTACTGATGAAGATCAAAGACTACAGTCTTCAGTATGGATTACACCTCAATATAAAGAAAACAAAAATCCTCACAACTGAACCAATAAGTAACATTATGATAAATGGAGAACAGATTGAAGTTGTCAAGGATTTCATTTTACTTGGATCCATAATCAACACCCATGGAAACAGCAGTCAAGAAATCAGAAGTTGTATTGCACTGGGAAAATCTGTTGCAAAAGACCTCTTTAACGGGTTAAAGAGCAAAGATGTCACTTTGAAGTCTAAGGTGTGCCTGACCCAAGCCATAATGTTTTCAACAGCCTTATGTGCATGTGAAAGGTGGACAATGAGTAAGGAAGACTGAAGAAGAATTGCCACCTTTGAATTGTGGTGTTGGTGAAGAATACTGAAAATACCATGGACTGCCAGAAGAACAAACAAATATGTCCTGGAAGAAGTGCAGCCAGAATGCTCCTTAGAAGTTAGAATGACCAGATGTCAGCTCACCTACTTTAGTCATGTTGCCAGAAACGACCATTTCCTGGAGAAGGATATCATGCTTGGTAAAGTAAAGGGTCAGTGAAAGACGGGAAGACTCGCAAAGAGATGGAGTGATACAGTAGCTGCAACAATGGGCTCACACACAGCAATGATGGTGAGGATGGTGCAGGACCAGGCAGTGTTTTGTTCTGTTGTACAAAGAAACACTATGAGTTGGAGCCAACCTGACAGTACCTAACAACAAAAACATATCTCAAAGGGAAAAGAAAGTGATAAAATTCTTTTTTTTTCCTTTCAGGGAAGATAGTTTTGAGAATCAAAACAGAAACAAGGAGCCAGCCTTATGAGTGCACCCTCTCCTCACTTACAATTTCATTATTTGATATTTCATATTTACAACAATAGTAAAAAAAATCTATAATCCATCTATTTTGTACATTAACGACATACATCTGGCAGTAACACACACTGAGGTATGAGGCGAGAGCAACACTGGCTGTGATGGTTAAGGTTATGTGTAAACTTGGCTAGGCCATGATTATCAGTGGTTTGGCAGTTATGTAATGATGTATTGTGGTAATTTTGTAATGATGTAGTGATCCTCCATATTCACATAATGCTGATTTTTGCACAACGATCTGATCTTTGGAACCTACCCATGTCAATAAGTGAGAAGAGGGTGCAGATAGAGCTATGGATTACAAACTTTACTTTCTTTTGTTCTTCAAAATCATAAAGTTGAATGGTCACATATTTTTTTGGTATGATATACTTCCTTTTGTATTTAACTTCTTTGTCATCTAACTTTAGATGACATATTTGAAAAATAAAGCATATTAAATGGGCTTAGGGCCCAGTTATAAACCCATAAGAATTTTGTTCCTTATGAAGACCCACTTTTCAAAAAGCTAAGGACCATCTGACACATCTGGCCCATTCCCAGACATGTGGATCCTAGCAGAGACCAGCTTAAGCCTTGAATCTCAGTGTAATTCAGACTACTTTGAGTACAGCCTGGTTTCAGTTCATATAGTCTCTGTGTGATTAGACTAATTTTGGAGTTCCATGAAAGGCTTTAAGCCTTTAGAGTGAATCTTGTGGATTCAATTTAGTTTCTTAATAATTTTATTTCAGCTCAGATCAGCACCCCACGTGTGGCCCCTTCCCTTTTATGAGGTTGAGATCTTCTAGATCTGTGATTTTCAACTATGTGCAGTTACCCCCTTACTCAGGGAACATTTGACAATGTCTGAAGATGTTTTTGTTTTTCACATCTGGGAGTAGGGCATGTGCTACTGGCAGCTAGTGGGTAGAAGCCAGATGATGCTAAACATTCCATAATGCACAGGATGGCCCCTACAACAATATTATCTGGTCAAAAATACCAACATTGCTGAGAGGAGAGAAGTGCAAATCTACAGCAAAACTGGAACTGAAGGTAACTTTAGGTCTCAGTTGATGAAGAAATGCAGAGTAAGGCAAAAAAAAAAAAAAAAGGCCTCTGTTCTTCTACTTCAGCACCAAGTATCTCTTTTATGTTTAAAAGGTTGGGGTTATTTCACTCTACAACTGAGGCGTTCTTTCCATAAATTGTAGGAGCAAATATGGGATTGTATGGTTCCTAATTAAAGAATAAAATGCTTCTAAGTATAGTAATCTACAGAAGAAAGTGACTCCTGTGATAGAATCTAGAATAGACAATTATTTTAAAAATTCAAATTTTGACAAGAGATAATTTAAACATCAGTGACTATAATAACCATCTAAGGAAATTATTTTAGATAGTGATGACCATAACAACCCCAAAATCTAATGAAGAGAAATCTGAGAGAATTCCTGCCATAATGAGGAATTCTGACAACCATCACTCCATTTCTTAAGAAAGTCCTTCCAACTGTAAAATGGTACAACCATTGTGGAAAGCAGTATGGCAATTCCTTCAAAAGTTGGAAATACAAATACCATTTGACCCAGCCATCCCATTACTAGGTATATACCCTAAAGAAGTGAGAGCCATAACAAGAACAGATA